CACACGGTCATATCATACACAGCCAACCGGGTGACAATGTCACGACGAGCCCAAAGATGGTGGCTGTGGCGCGAACCGCATCCCCAACCTCCATGTGGACACTCCCCATTCCCTCTTCTCTGCTGCTTCATCAAGGCAGCCACCCGACCGTAGACTAGGATGTCCCCACGCCGACCTCAAGCGGCGCCGACATCTCTGGTGGCGACAGCTCCTCTAGAGCAGCTCCTCTAGTGACAGAGAGGGCGGGTGACATGGACACGGAGGCCTGTCCTATCACCACATCCGCGAAGGATGCCTCGGGTGCACCCCCTTTCGTCCGCCCTACCGTAGACATGACCACCTACATGGACGACGACTCTGGCCGTGCCTCCTTCGCCTGCGACATCGAGGACACGATTGGCCGCACCGCACTCGCCACGGGTGCCCCGAACGCGCCCTCCTCTGCATGCTCTACTGTGGACACAGCCATCGACCACGCCTCCCTGGTCAACACCGTGGTCGCCCCGACACCACTCACACCCTCCATCGGTGCGGCGACAGCCGGCTCCTAGCGTGTTTGCCGGAGGAGGATTTTTTTCGGAGCAAGCTGCAGGAGAGTCCCACATGCTCCGACGCTGCAAAGGACATGGTGATCAGTTCATGCCAAAAATTTGTTAGGACAAAAGGATGACAAAAACTCTTGACTCACCTTAACGCCATCATACGAAGACATTTTGGGGCCGGCTTGCCCGACCTCGGCTGCTCCTTGTTGGCATGTTGCCGCTTTGAGCCCTCACTTGGCTCGGAGGGCTTGAACGAATCAAAACGGCCACCTCCCACCGACTCCGGAGGCCACCGAGGGCTCAGACGGAGTAGGGTGACCTATTTCCACTAGCTCTAGGGCCACCGTCGAAGGTCCGGACGTGGTGGGGCAGTTTGTTTCTGCTAGCTCCAAGGACGTGTCCTCTGCCTACTGCCTCACGACATGCCATGGGAAGGGCCCTGTTGGAAGCGAAGGTGGGTCCTCATCCCTAGCGGCCAGATCATCCCATGGGATGGGCAACATGGAGCCATCATCTTCCTCTTCCTCCTCTTCTTCCGATGAGCCTTGATGGCACTTCCCTCACTGCAGCTTCGCTCGCTGCTTCGACCACTGTTTCTTCTCCTCGTCGTCCTTCTTCTTCTACCACTGCTCATCCATGGCACGGTTCGCCACCCTCATGGCCGCGTGCTCTGGCAGCGGTGCGACGAGGTCCTAGAAGACTAACCCCGCCGACAACTCGATGAAGCCCATGTCCGGCCACATCACAGGATGCCCCAGGATTGGGAACACGACGTCGGCCTCCCCCGTGGCCTCCTTGATGCGCTGCGTGACCTCGCTGTCGCAGAGCAGCCCCTGGGCAAGCATCGTCTCGATGAGCTGTGTGCCGGGCATCATCCCATACAGTAGGAGGATGTGTGCCATTAGAGGCGCCACCCTCCTCGCGTGATACCCCCCGATGACACCAGCCCCACGAAGGCCATGGGTCTTCAGGAACATGATGGCCTCGAGGAGGGCATGCATCCTCTTCTTCTCCTTGATGGGTGTCCCCCATGGCCATGACCGCGATACCTCTTTAACCAGGCGCCCAGAGAAGATTGGCAAGAGAGCGGCATGGTCGTTCTTCAGGTAGAACCAATGCGAGTGCTACCCCTTGTTGGATCTAGAGAGCTGGCAGGGCATATACTCGGCTGGCCGCTGCCCCCAGAGGTGGAAGCCCATGCATCCCATCGGCATTGGGGTCTCCCGACCTCTCTCCTTCTTCTTGATCAAGGAGATGGAGAAGAAATATCTCCAGAGCTCAAAGTGGGGCTCGATCCCTAGGTACCCCTCGCACATCGCGATGAAGGCCATGATGTGCTGGATCTCATTAGGGTTCAGGTGCAGTAGCTCGATCTGATAGTGGTGCAACAGACCTCGGAAGAATAGGTGAGGAGGAACCATGAGTTCATGCTCGTGGAAGGGCATGAAGGAGACAACGTAGTCGTCGGGCAGTGCCGACGCATCCTCATGGCCAGGCACAAGCCACTCCGCCACATCGGTCCTCCCACGGAGAAGACCACGCTTGACGAGGCCCTCCATGCACGCATGGGTAACATCAGAGCAGTACCACGAATCCATGGAGGTTGGAGGTTGCTACGGAGAAGCAAAGGCGACAGCTGAGGAGTGGAAGCTACGGATCTAGGGCTCTGGCGGTGGATTAGCAAGCACGGTAGATCCAAACGGTGGCGGTAGAGAAACAGAGAAGGTAAGGCTATAGTTTTGGTGTGTAGGAACACAAAGGGGGATGCCGCTATTTATAGGGCAGAGCAGGATGAGAAGGCGAACTATCCGCCTAGATTCACGCACCCGCTACGCCACGTCATGTCACCTCCCTTCAAAGATCACGTGCACACTATCTCTAGCCATGCCCCCGAAGGATACGCTGGATGATGGTTCGCCCATTCAATGGGCCAAGAACTATCATAGGTAAGAAGGGATCCAGAGCTAAAAACACTCCTATAGCCCATTTAGGACCAGGAGTTCGAAGGCTGGCCCACCAACGGGTTCATGGCCGCTCTGGGCACCCTTAGAGCGAGGGGTGGAAAGGGATGGGCCCACTAGCGGCCAGTACCTTGGTGCACAAGCACCGCAGGCATCCTGGCCCATGTTCGAGTATTGGTTGGTTCCCAGTCCATGGTTTTTCCTCAAAGAAAGGCAATGAGCCCTTGGGACCGGCCAAATGGACCCAAGAACTATATGGAGTGACCACCAACAGTCTAGAGTTGGTCACCAGCTGACCCATGTCGGACCCCCGTGAATGGGAAGCCAAGGCTCCACTCGGACTAGCCCGTTAAATAGCTCACCGAGCACCATGTTTCGTCCATCATAAAGATGATCTGACCCTTGACCGGACCCCTGCTATGCACGGGGGCTCAAGGAAAGTTGGACTTGCAAGGAGACCGAACACATGGTCACAGTACGATGATGGACCGATCGGATCCTAGGGACTAGAATCAAGAAAAATCTTTCTGACCTCCCGAATCCTACGGTTACATGCCCCCAAGAAGGTCGATCGTGACAAAAGGGAACCGCCGCCCTACCAGGACACGCCGCATGCTACAAAAAGAAGGCCAAGGCCCTCAGAGTCCTCCCGTCCAGAAAAGCCTCCAAAGGAGTATTCTACTCCTCCGCAGGCTCAGGGGCTACTATCGGGTATCGATATTAGGGATACCCAAAGCAAGGAAATTAGTGCCCACACTAACTTCCCCAGATAGGCCAAGACGTATTAAAAAGTCTCATCTGACCCCTAGGCCGTGGGCTCCGCCTCGCCCGACCTAAGGCCGCGGGCTTCGTCTCGCCCGACCTCACATGGGCTCCATCTCGTCCGACCCCTTGGGTTCGTGCTCCATCTCGTCTGGCCCCTTGGGTGCAGGCTCCATATCGATTGACCCCTCGGGTGTGGGCTCTGTCTCGCGCGACCCCAAGGACGCGGGTTCCATCTCATTCGACGGGGACCCATACCGACGCCAACCACTCTAGGTCCAAGCGTATGGGCCTAGGTCAAAACTCTGACACTAGGGAAGAGACTGGCACATCTTGATGTAACCCATGGCCATGACAGGCCATAGCTGAGGATTCACATCAATGACAGGTCCAAGCGCATCGTGTTAGTGATGAATAGGGCCGCGATGAGGAGCCATCCCTATTAACATCTATAGGATCGGTAGGACCCGCATGAAGGAGAAGAAGGACCCGACAATCCTGGAAGCCTTCTTCTATCTCTCGTTCATCTACTTTTCCTCCGCTATAAACCGTGCTTTCCCTTTGCCTATAAAAGGGGAACCAAGGCGCCCCATGAAGGGGGATCCAGATCCGCACGAGACCGAACGACAAGATAAAAACACAAGAGCACGACACGAGCACACGGCTGAGCAGCGATCAAGCTCTTAGCACCCGTTCACTCCTTTCACTAGAGACTTGGGATCCTTTCCCTCTCTTGCCTGTTTGTAACCCCTATAGCAAACCAAGTGTCGGTAACATGAGCAGCAGCAAACTGGACGTAGGGACGTTCTGCCCGAACTAGTATAAACCCTTGTGTCCTTCGAGCACACCATCCGAGCCAGACGCGCCAATATAAATTTACTCGTCGGTGGTCCAAAAACATTGACACTGTGGTTTCTAGAAGGCCACCGCAGCGGTGTCCTGGAGAAGGTGCCGGTAGAGAGGCCATCAGTACATTTGCTCATGTGCGGTGTCTAGCCTCTATGTTCGTGCGGCGAATCGCCCGTTGCAATTTTTTGCTTTTTAATTAAATTTTTATTTATTCTCTTTTTTTCTTTTTCCTCATGCCTTCTTTGTATGGAGAGCCTTGTTGACTAGGTGACAACGAGCAATACTCGGTAGGAGTTAGGGCTCAGCTGCTCAGGACGTGTTTGATGAGAAATATCGGGTGTGTCTAGGTGGCCAAGCCCAGCCTTGCTCCTTGAAGCCAATTTTGATATGTTTAGTTGTCTAGAAATGGGTTGGGGCCTGGCTAGGGCTGGCCATCCGTACCCTTGAAGCCTGGCTAGCATCGAATGACCAAAGTGGTCATTTTTCTTGGGCCAAGACCGAGCCCGCCTCGCGCTGGTTCCTGTCACCGCCTAGTTGCGCCCATCGTTCCCCTGCCGGTGCTCCTCCTCCTCCCCGTTGGTCCTCCCTCACCGGTGCTCCTCCCTACTAGTGCTCCTCCATGTCGGCGCGAGGAAGTGGCGGAGACAGCAGCACACGTGAAGTCGCCCCATCAGGAAGGCGAGTTATAGCCGCTAAGCTCCGTGCCCCCACCGTACCACTGCTCCTCCGCGCGCCCAAGAGACTATCCACCGGAGCTCCTCCACGCCGGCGGAGGGCGGAGCAGTGGTCGCCCCCCCCCCCCTCCCTTCTCTAGCATCGTGCCTTGCTGCTGCCACTGCTTCCATGACCTCCACCTCCTCTGCCCCACCCGCCCACCGCTGCTTCCATGGCCTCCACCTCCACCTCCTCCACCGAGGGTAGACGCGAGGCCGAGTATGAAATCTCCGATGACCACCGCGGCGCGTGGGAGTGCCACGAGCGCACGGTGCAGGAGCTCCTCCAGCGACGCCGCGCCTACGCCATGGTCGTGCCCACTAACGGGCTCTTCGACGAGCGTGAGATGGAGCGTCGCGATCGCCTCCGAGCCCTCATGGTCCGGCTCAAGGCCGATGGCCAGGTCAACCATCTCCTCCGTGCATAGGAGGATGACTAGGCCATGCGCGCCGATAAGGAGGACGAAGAAGAGCAAATCCAATACCCCTTCTTCACCGAGGAGGGGTGCGACCATGAGGAGGAGCTTGACCACCACCGTGACAAGCTAGAGGAGGTGACCAGTGTTGGAGCAGGTGGTGGTGGTCATTGGCTGAGCACTGCTTCCTTGCGCCATGCGGACGAACATGCCCACTAGCTGTTCTACAAAATGCCTCAAAGGGCTGAACTCACCAGCTCAAAGAAGAGGTGACTCTATGCAAAGCAAGTCATCCAACCAAACAAACCTATGTCTAGCCAGGCTTACATAATGCAGACAACCAAACAACTATGAATTGGCTTAGTTGGAGCAGGCTAAGGCTAGCCTGTCTTAGTTTTGTTAGCCAGACTTGTTTAGGAAACAAACCAAACACACTCATGATGTGCTCCTATAGCCTTAGGTGCTCCATTGCTCCCATTCAAAAAAACATCAAAAAATTCTTCAAAAATCCCTACAACTAAAACATTTGTAATGAAATCGTCGATCCGGCTTCACACGCTCACTCACTCGTATGGTCGTCCGGCTTCGCTCACCTTCTTAACCACCTCCAAGTAGCCATCGAATTTCTAGACTTGCATGCTAGAAAAGGTAACCTAGCTTGTCAATCCAAAGTTGATAGCAGCTTGTCATTTCATGCTTGCCACTACGTCGGCAGCATCACCTAGCTTGTCACCTAGCTTGTCACAGCATCACTCAGTCCACTTCACCTACATACATTTCTTATAGCCACAGCGCCCATCCTTGAGCTCGCCCCCACATACACCGAAACATATACCAAGTTTTATTTTCCGACCGTCTCGCAAACTACGATGAAACTAAACGAGCTAGCTTAGCTAGTTAGAATTCTTGGGGACGCGAGGGTCACAGATCTGGCCATGGCAAAGCCGCGGGATCACACTACTATAGATTAATCAATCACCAACGCATCTATCATCGTCAGTATCATTAAAAACAATGGTGATAGCTATCATCAATGGTTTGTAATATGAACCGTTAGTGATGAGAGTATCACCACCGGTTCATAAGAATGTCCGGGTCGATAACTATCACCGCCGCTTTGTCTTACCAACCGACGGTGATAGTCCATCATCACAGCCAGTTTGAACCACCAGGCGGTAGTGATCATGTGCTCCACATCACCGTCGCCTCGCCATATGAACCAGCGTTGAAGACATTTTCACCGCCAGCTCGTTGTATGATACGGCGGTGATAATCATACTACAGTATAAATAAATTCATAACTTTTTTAAATAAAGTCAGATGAAAACAAACTTTATATCAAAGTTGTAGATCTCGACGCAATCGATAACTTTGTAGTTGATGACTTTTTCATTTGAAACCATGTACTGTCACAGAATTCTGATTGAAGCGCTCAAATTTTAAAATTCAATTTTTTCGAATTGTACAAACGACCCTCGATGGAAAAACGACCAAAACCTACAACTTTGTAGGTGACAACTATTTCATTAGAAATCATTTATAGTCTCAAATTTGTATCTGAAGTTTTAAAATTTTAAAAAACTAAAATTTTCAAACAACCTCGGATGGAAAATCAACCAAAACCAAAGTTGTAGATCTTGATGAGAACAACTTTATGGTTGATGAGTATTTCATTTGAAATCATTTGAGGTCCCAAATGTCTAACCGAAGTTTTGACGTTTTGAAATTCTCAAATTTGTTAAACGACATCGGATGGCGAAACAACAAAAATCAAAGTTATAGATCTTGATTAGAACAACAAATTTGTAGTTTATGACTTTTTCATCTGAAGCCATTTAGGGTTCTAAATATTCATTTTAAATCCTAAACAGTGAATGCTAGGGAAATTGTTGACGTCGGAAGTGATCCGAATCAAACACCAACAGGGCCTTGGACGCCCGGGCCGCTACAGACCGAAGAATGCAGCGAGGATGTCACTCTTTCAAGGTGAAGAATGGAGAGGTTTACAAGCAAACCACCAAAGGATAACCAACGTGCTTACATGATGAAGAACCAATTAGTTTTCAGGCAAACTAGCAAAGAAACCGTCGAAGCTCTCGCTCGGGAGGGACCCCGTCAGGGCAAGGACATTGTCGGGTGGCCCTAGGTCTGCTGGCAAGCCTAGGGTGCCATCCTTGGTCATTGAATCAAGGGATAAACAACGTGGAGGTTGGAGAAGAGGGCAAAAGGGTTGGAGTAGAGGTAGTAAATTTATTTGTTTGACAATTGGATAGATGGGAACTCAATCGGCTATGATCCTCTCATATATATAGAGGGGGTGGTCTTATCCTAGTAGGAAACCTCTCCAAGCCTTATTTTCCAAGTTTCCCATGAGTTTGGAATAGTTTGGATCGGAATTCAAAAGGCCAGATCCAAACAGGATTTTCTGTTAGGTATGTTGGAAGTCCCGACTTGGGTCGGAACTCCCGACAGTCAAAACTTCCGACTTTTGTCGGAACTGCTGACGTAGGGATAACCCCATATACCCAAGCAAATTTCTTCAGGCTTCCTAGAAGTCCCAACACCCATCGGAACTTTCGACAGTCAGGAGTTCCGACGAGACATCTTTCCGAGGGCATAACTTCTTCATCCGGACTTCTAATTAGACGTTTCATATATGTTTTTTCACCGTCTCGACGAGCGGAACACAATGGTGAAGTCCATTTCATATCTTGACAATTTCACAAAATGGATATTTTTGGTTGTCTACATATGCCCCCTGTTTTCAGGTGAATGATGCGTGAACCTAAAAACACTTATTCAAAACCAAACAGCGACGATACGCATCTCATCGGCTGCTTAGTGACTAAGGGCGATGTATACATCAACCATTTTTTCTAAGGGTGATACATGTATCGGCTATTATTTGGAGAGCACTTAGGCTTCTTGCCAAACACTTGGAAAGTACCCTTTCAAGTACCTCCCATTGAATGCTCCGTGAGACGTTCACCTTGCAATGTCTCTAGCACATATGAATTTCCGAATATAACCTTGACTACTTTGTAAGGACCTTCCCAATTCGGTGACCACTTGGCAAACTGATTGCTCTTCGATCCAATTGGTAGTATGGTTTTCCACACCAATTCTCCCACTTGGAAGGATTTGCTCCTGGCTTTCTTGTTGTATGCTTTGGCAACTCGAGCTTTATCTTTCTCTATTTCCTTGAGAGCCTTTAATCTCACATCAGTTACCTCATCGATGTTATCCATCATCAAATCATGATACACAACAGGTGATAAATTATTTTGTTTAGCGAGCTTGTATGCATCCAAATTCACTTCGACAGGCAACATGGATTCTTGACCATATACTAACTCAAAAGGAGTAAACTTTGTAGCACCATGCATTGAAATGTGATGTGCCCATAGAGCCTCAGACAAAACTTCATGCCATCTCCTTGGATTCTCCTCAATTTTCTTTTTGATAAACTTGATCAAAGTCTTATTACTAGACTCAGCTTGGCCATTGGCTTGAGCATAGCATGGAGATGAATTGAACAACTTGATCTTATATAATTCGGCAAATTCCCTCACCTCTTTTGGACACAAACGATGTCCCTTGATCTATAGTTAATGTTTGAGGGATGCCGAATCTATGAATAATATGCTCAGTGATGAACGCAATTACTTCCTTGTGTGTCATATTCTTCAAAGGAACTATCTCGGTCCACTGAGTAAAGTAATATGTAGCAACTAACAAAAATTGGTGTCCCTTCAAAGATGGGGGATGTATTTAGCCAATGAAGTCTAGCCCCCAACCACGAAAAGGCCATGGTTTGATGATAGGATGAAGCACAGCAGCAGGCACAAGCTAAATATTTTCAAACTTCTGGCACTCTTCGCAACCTTTGTAGTAGCGAAAACAATCGGCCATCATAGTAGGCCAATAGAAACCGGCTCTATGCAATAACCACTTCATCTTCGGGGCCAATTGATGCATACCACAGATGCCTTCATGGACTTCTCCCATAGCCATTCTTGCCTTATCTGATCCCAAGCACTTAAGCAGCAACTCTTCGGCGGTTCTTTCATAGAGCTCATCATTATGCAATACATATTTGAAAATGCTCTGTCGAACACTTTTATCAATTTTGGCACTTGGATCACGTAGATAACTCAACAAGGGAGTCCTCCAATCTTCTAAATCGGCCCCAACATCACTAGAAGTTATATCGGGCCGATTTGATAGCTTCTCGGATGAATTGACCGGGCTGGTCACAGGGGAGTCGGCTGAGCCAATAGGGCCGGTAGGCTTACCTGATTTGGAGGTGTCGGCTTGGTCGACTAGGGCAGTTGGCTTAGCCGACTTGGCCACAACAGAAAAGTAGTCGGCTGAGCCGACTTGGTCAGTCGGCTGAGCCGACTGGTCTGTACCTACACAGGAAAATTAAAATCTTCATGCATCGGCTGTTCTTGAATATGGAAATTATGTCCACTGACATACTAGCCAGATGCTTGTTGAGCTAACATATTGGCCTTTTGATTTTCATGCCTCGGAATATGCCAAATTCAGAATTCGGCAAAATAGTCAATAATATCAAGGCAAGCATCAAGACAAGTTCTTAGTGACCCTTCTAAACATTGAAATTCACTAGCAACTTGTTGTACCACTAGCAAGGAATCACCATAGGCTTCAACATGTTATACCCCATGGATTGCAATATGGCCAAGCCGAATAAGAAAACTTCACATTCGGCTCAAATGTTGGTGCATATATAATTTTAATTGGCTTGATGTCTCCAATAGCACCATTGTGAGAAATAATGATTATGCCAACACCTTGGCCTTATTTGCAAACCGACTAATCATATTGTCACATCCATGAAGTAAATCCAAAATGCATATATCATGCCCCCGGGCCTTAAGGCCATCAAAGTAAATTACATGGGGGCTTTCTAATAGCACGATGGTTGCAAGCATTCATTGACTATATTTTACACTAAGGGCGATATCAAAATATTGGCCAAATGAATT